TAAGTTGTTGTTGTTGTTTTTTTATTATTTTTAATTTTACACTACATAACATTTTCTTAAGCTTCTATTAATCTTTTACACTCTGAAGTTATAGTATTCATTCTTCTTCTGTCTCTGTAATGGATAAATCTGCATCAGTATCTGAAATCAAATATTAACTATCTGTGATAAAAAACTTCTATAGTAATCTAACAACTCAGTAGAGTGAGCTTTAAACAAAATAATAAATAGAATACTTTATAAATTTTTTATTTATAATTATATTATTATTTACTTTATATTTATAAATAAACAGGGACTGAGCAGGCTGATATTTATTTGATTTAAATTGTTTATTTAATTTAAATAAATTTTGATGATAAATATAAGAGCTCAAAGTAATCAAAGCCTTTAACCTTTAATTTATGTTAAATAAAATTTAAAAGTCTTCATATCATAAGAAAAACCAGAATATAAGTTTATATGTTTAATATATAAATTCAATTTAGAAGTATTCATAATATTAATAAACGAGTAAAGATAATTATTATCATTGTTTTTCTTTTTCTTTTAATTTATATTGTTTTGGTTGACTTTTTTTTTCTTTTTTTATTCTCTTCATTTATATTTCATTTGCTTTTCTTCCTTTTTTGTTGTTGAGAACTTTATGTTTTTTATGTGTCACTCCATTGACTAATTTGTAACTATATAAGTGACACCTAACCAATTTCTGTAATCTTACGATGAAAATTTGTAAATTTTTATTATTATGGTTAAATAAAATTTAAAAAAATTAAACATACACAGAATTTAAAATAGTAGCAACGTGTCTTTAATCTTCTTTAAAGTGAGATTACTAAGGTTTATAGGTCAAATGTTAAAACCAATTTTTGTTCTATTTGCGGTAATCCCACACAAAAATTAATATAAATTCGTTACATAATACAAATTATAAGGTTTTTATTCTGCATAAAAATGCTGATTCAGTTCATCTAAAGTCACACTTATAAGCCTTCTAAGTGCATGAGGACCTTCCTTAATTTTACTATTATATTCAAAATATTTCTACTTATTTATTATCATCCCCTCCATAACAAGACATTTGGGAGTAAATAATACTAAGTATATGGTATAGACTCCAACTTTAACTCTGTAGTCCTAAATTTACAACTTAATTAGACACTGGCAATTAGCATATTTTTATAACTTGTACAACAGTAGCTTATAACTTTAATTACTTAAAATTTTTTGCCGAAGCCAAAGATTCGGCAAAAAATTAACCTGGCTTCGGCAAAATTGCCGAAGCTTCGGCATGCCGAAGCCGAAGCCGAAGCTTCGGTACATTCCTAATTGTTAAGCTGTTGTTATCGACCACCTGACGGCGTGAGTGAGAACTTGAGCCTTTTTTTTGAACAAAGTATTTTTAAAAAAGGTATTAAAGAAAAAAAAAAAAAATTATTATTGGGCACCTAAATATGAATTGTTTACTATACAGTAAAGATAATAAAGTCAAAAACTTCTACGATTCTTTTTTCGAAACTGGAGCAATCCCGTTGATTAATCGTCCTACAAGAGTAACAAAAAACTCAGCGTCTTTGATTGATAATATAATTACAACAGATATATCCGATAATGATATCCAAACCGGTATCCTAAAATCGGATATATCTGACCATTTTCTATTATTTTTGTTGCTTAAATCAAACTCTGAATATATAACCAAATTAAATAAAATAAAAATACGCACTTTTAACGAAACCAATATAAAACAATTTAAAAGCCAATTATCACTCCTACACTGGAAGCATATTAACTTTAATGAAAATGCAGACAAAATTTACGATAAATTTTTTGAAACATTTTATTCCGTGTATGACGCTAATTTCCCTATCATTGTAAAAACTCTAAATCCAAAAAATAAAAAACAACCCATGGGTGACCAGGGGATTTAAAAAATCATCAAAAATAAAACAGAAGCTTTATATAAAATATCTTAAAACAAAATCATCTGCAAATGAAAAAATATATAAAGAATACAAATACCTATTTGAAAAAGCTCGTAAAAACTTGAAAAAAATTACTACTCAAGACTCATAGATAAATTTAAAAATAACTCAAAACGCACTTGGCAAATAATGAATGAAATCAGTTGTAGACAAAAAAAATGCTCAGGTTCCCTTCCCCAAACGATTGTAGTTGATAACAAACATATATGCGAATCAAGAGCTATAGCTCATGAATTTAATAAATTCTTTGTTGACATCGGTCCCAAACTAGCAAAAAAAATTCCTGATTTTTTAGTCCAAATGGATAACTGCACTAGTTCCAACGAATTATCTTCTGAACTATCTTTTCAAGAGTTTGAAAAAGCTTTCAAAACTCTTAAAAAAAATAAATCAACCGGAGCAGATGGTATAAACGGTAATATAGTCATAGAATGTTTTGAATACCTAAAAGATATCGTATTTAAAGTATATGCAGCATCTATACGCCAAGGAGTATTTCCAGAACAAATAAAAATTGCTAAAGTTACTCCAATTTTAAAAGAAGGTGATCAAACAATTATCAGTAATTATCGCCCTCTGTCCTCTCCACATTTTCAAAAATACTAGAACGTATTATGTACAATAGATTATACAATTATCTTCATTCTAATAATTTTTTACACAACTATCAATTCGGCTTTAAAAAAAATAATTCCACAGAACATGCAGTTATCCAATTTGTAAGTGAAATCTCTAATTCTTTTGAAAATTGTAAATATACATTAGGTGTTTTCATCGACCTTTTGAAAGCATTCAATACTGTCAATCATGAAATTTTACTACAAAAGCTAAAATATTATAGAATAAATTGCAAAGTTATAAAATGGTTCAAAAGTTATCTATTCAACCGTAAACAATTTGTTTTCAGCAATAATGATCATCCAAATAAATTTTTAAATATTTCATGTGGCGTTCCACAAGGTTCTATTTTGGGACCACTTTTGTTCTTGATTTATATAAATCTAAATAAAGCCTCAAATTTAATGAGTATCATGTTTGCTGATGATACTAACTTATTCTTTTCCAATAATGACATTTGCAAACTCTTTTATACTATGAATAATGAACTTAAAAGTATATGCAAATGGTTTAAATGCAACAAACTAACTCTTAATATTAAAAAAACAAATTGGGTTCTTTTCCACTTAGTCTCCAAAAAAGCTTATTTACCCCAAAGTTTGCCTAAAATTTTTATTGATGATGTTGAAATAAAAAGACATAATGTAACAAATGTTCTAGGTGTTTTTCTTGATGAAAACATAACATGGAAAAAGCATATAGACTATATTGGTACAAAAATTTCTAAAAATATTGGAATTCTATATAAAACCAGAACATATTTATGTAAAAAAAGTCTAACTCAACTTTACTACTCATTAATTCATAGTTATTTAAATTATGCTAATGTTGCATGGGGAAGCACTGAAAAAAGTAAGTTAAAATGCCTTTATCGCCGTCAGAAACATGCGATCCGTTTGATAAATTTTGCGGATCAATACACTCATTCCAAACCACTTTTTATTAAAATGAAAGTTCTCAATATTTATGAGCTTAATGTTTTTAATGTTTTGTGCTTTATGTATATGTGGAAAAATGACATATCTTTACCCGTTTTCAAAGATCTCTTTTGTTTGAAGCCAATAAATAAATTTACACTTAGAAACAATAATTTTATATATGAGCCCTTTTGTCGAACCAATTTTAATCAGTTTTGTATTTCATATCGTGCACCTTATCTTTGGAATAAAATTGTTTTGTCCAATTTTAACATGTATTTTACTTTTCCCGTTTTCAAATAAAAACTGAAAAATTTAATTATCTTAATGGATGATGTAGTCAGATTTTTTTAACTTTATAATTTCTTTAGAACTTTTATTGTTTATTACTTTTTTATTTTGTTGATTATGTTTTGATGTAGTTTATATACACACGTTTGTAAAAGGTTCTGATGATAAGATCAGTACGATCTTCTTTCAGAAACCTTGTTTGTGTTTGTGAAAGTAATTTATTTACTACGACAACAAATGTAAACTAAAAAAAAAAAAAAAAAAAAAAAAAAAAAAATTTTGTTTACAATTACAATTTTCTGTAGTTTTTTCATTTTGGATTTCTTTTTTGTTTAACAAAGCATTATTGTGACCTTTCATAATTCTTTCCATATTTTTTGTGCAACTGTAGCTAACTTTAATTGTATTTCGATTAAAAATTTTATGTAATTTATTAGTGGAAACATTTTTGCTATATGGGGGTTGAACCCAATTATCTTTCTAGTTCCATTTCGTCTTTTTTTATCCTTCTTTTAAGGGTCAAATTTTCATTCAAAATTTTCAAAACCACTTTTTTAAGGGCATCTTCAAAAATTTGTTTAGAGGAATTGAATACATTTTTATTAAATGAGTTTTGGTTTAGCCTGTTATTAATTGAAATCGGAATTCTTTTTTTAATTTAGGTGCCCTAACGGTCTTGTCACAGAGTACCGCGAAAGTGCATTTAACCAGGAAGTTCACGCCTCCTTCCTTACTGTGACGCGAAAATATCCAGAAATATCCGTGAAATTACCGTGGCGCGGAAATATCCAGAGCTCGTTTTGAACCTGGATCTCTTGCTTATAAAGCAAGCGCTCTAACCACTGCGCCACGGCCGCACCTTTTAGAATTTAGGGTGGGTGATTTGAGTTAATATTAATATACAATAATTCATCGTTTGGTTTTTTGAAAGAAAAACATTGTTTAAAACAATGTTTAAGTTTTAAACAATGTTTAAAACTGTACTGTTCTTCTTTTCAATAAGTTTTTATGTTAAAAATGTCTTTTAATTTAGTTCTTGTTTTACGAATGAACAATTCTATTGTTTTAATGTCGTCATCAAATTGTTTTTAGTTTTAAGTAAATCATAAATATTTGTAAAACATAAATAAAATTTTTTACAAATTAAATGTTTGCACCAAGAATTTTTAATGAAGTATTTATAGCTTTCGTAAGAAATTTAAAAAAATGTTTACACCGCACTTATAAATCTAAATAATGTTAAAATTCCCCTGTTGCTTGTATATCAGGCAAGACAGACGTCTTGCTGCTAATGGGTCAAAGTTCATGTGATTGAATATTTTAGTTAATTTTATTTGCACACGACTTTTCGCAAGATATTTTACTGTTATATCTGTTATTATTTCCACCACATCCGCCATAAACAAATTGTTGACATATTTTTTTGGCATGATTAAAAAACCATTTTATGAAATACCCTCTGCATGGACCAGTATCTGATGGACTTCGGCAATCGGGATTATTACGCTCTAAAATAATATTATATATTATATAAAACAATTTTGAAAAATTAAAATTAATTAATATGTTGCAACCAAAAATCTATGCAACTGTAATTGCATCATTGCAATATAAAAATTCAATACTTGTTGCTGTGCTTCTAAATATAAACTACAACGTTTTTTATACCTACAATTGTATCAATAACCGTTGTTTTGAATTTTTAAATTTACAGCATATTCCCAGTGGGCACCGGACCAAAAAAAGACGTCTTTTAAACATTCAAAAACGTTCAAAAGATGTTCAAAAGACGTCCAAAACGTGTATAAGACGTTTAAAAGATGTCTTTTTTTTTATGTCCTTGCCCACTGGGTTCTGTATTTTATCAATAACTTCTGTTTAAATTAGAATTAATTAACTTACCGCATATCCCATATTTTGAGTGTTGGCTATTTACTTTACAAAAAAGATGGTCATCACAAACACCCTTGGTTGATCCACCACATGATTCTCCTACTTGTCTTTTTGCGCAGATTTCGCAACATCCGGATGGATCTTTAATCGGAAGAGCACCTTTAAATTAAAGAACTTAAATTACTTAAAGTTTTGCAATAAATATATCTTAGTGATCTGCAATGACAGTTGCAACTGAATAAAATTATGCCCAATGCTGTAATTGCAGAGAACAAGGGGTAAGCTTAACTCAATGTGCTTTTGGCTTCATTTTTTTTTTCAATTTTTAAAATTTTTTTGAAAATTGCGTAACTTATGATAAAAGTTTTTACATAAAAAATGTTTAATAAACATTAATATATATTTCTCAAAAATAATTACTTTCTCAGAAGAAGTAAACAAAAAATATCGTAATCAGGGGCATTTAGGATTTAATAAACATAGGGCATTTTATAAACAGAGCTCCTTCTCTAGTCAAATGGTATTAAAATACCTTCAATTCCAGGAAAGAGAGTGCTAATCAAAGACCACCTTTAAGAGCGTTTTTTTATAGGTTCAAGTTCTCATAAGACTTGTTTTCTTTTTTTGATATTTTCATGACTTTTTTACAGATTTAAATTTGGTATAAAGCTGATTTAAATATAAGATAAAGTTATACAAAGTATAGATAGACCCGTAAAAAAAAATTGGAAGCAACATATATATAATAATATTTGTTATATATCAATAATCAACACACCACCATATGGAACCTCCAAATACCTCGTTAATATCATTCAACCAACACTAAACAAAAACAAAAACAGTCTTATTAATTCAAATAGTTTTGTTAATGAAGCCAGACATCGAAAATAGATCCCAATGAAGCTTAAATTTCTTTTGATATATTTAATTTATATCCGTCCATACCTATTAAAGAGGCTATTTTATTATTATTATTGATATATTAAATAATGACACCGACAACTTAAAGGCTCGAACAAAAATTTTGCTTGTACAGACATACACCAATTAATAGAACTCTCATTGAGTATTAGCTATTTTTTTATATGAAAGCAAAATCAGAATAAGGGGTCGTCCATAAAGTACGCTTTTTTTTTTGCCAATCCCCCCTCTTCCCCCGCTTAATTTGCCGTACGCTTTTTTGAGTACTCTTTACCTTCCTAAAAGTACCTACGCTTTTAACTTACTAACGCAACATTTTATGATATTTTTTTTAATTTAATGTCTCCATACTTTTATAATTGAACTACTGCCCACTTATCTCAGAAACGCCATTTGCAGACATCCTCTTCCTCTCCGAGCGTGCGTACTTTGTGGACGATCCCTAATACCTAATTCAGGTCCTATAGGTTTGTCCTTAATGGTTGTTATTGCGGAAGCATTTCTACAAAATATAGAAAGAAAAGAACTTAATATAGCTACTATTCATACATCTGAACCAGAAACTTTCATGAGATAGGTAGACGATTGTCACGCTCGCTTTAACTCAATAAAACAACAACAAATGTTTCTAAATATCCTAAACGAACAAAGTCCTGCCATAAAATACACCGTAGAACTCGAAAACTACCAAAACTACTTAGTTTTCTAGATATTATTATTACGAACACAATGCAAGGAGCTTATGAATTTCAAATACATCAAAAAGAAGCAATAACTAATATTCAACTTAAACCAAGTTGAAATATCAATTCTAATATTATCAGTGGCGTATTCAAAGAGTTTTTATGTCGTGCAAAAAGATAATATTCACAAAAATACCTTCAACAAGAAATTGATTTTTTAATAAAAATATTTGCTGAAAACACGAAAAGAACAATTTAACTAATATCGCCAGAGACTATATAAAAATAGATGAAAAAATACCAACTAACAACCAACTGACAACCAACCATTTATAAGACTACCATGGATATCAATTGTTGGTCGCAAACTTAGAAAATAATATAAAAAACAAAACATAAATGTTATGTTCACATCAGCTCTAAATTTAAACAATATATTCTGCAACAATAAAACTTCCTCCAAATACAAACCCAGGCGTCTACCAAATAAAATGTTTTTGCAACTCTATATATATTGGTGAAACAGAAAAATTATATTAAGATGTGTTGAGCACCAAAAAAATGGTAAAAAAAGAAAAATAGGCTAGTTTGAGTGCTACTGAGCATTCCAAATCATGGCAAGGTACGTTTGACTGGTTAAACCCGAAAACCATATCTATTGCTTCAGAAAATCATATTCGGAAAATTTAAGAATCTTTAGAAATAAACAAAGCTAAAATTCGACAAGAGTTGGGAGATGACGAAAATGTTATTAATAAGAATGATGGTGATAACGATTGTTGTCTTTTCTATTCTTTCCAAATAGTGGACATCAATGGATAGACATCATTAAAAACAAACACATTTGGAAAACATCAAGTTGAAATTTTTTGGTAATTCGTATGTTGTTGTTGCGAGGGAGTTAAAACTTCATGGGGAGTTAATTTTTTTTGCCGTCAGGCGTTATTTTATTTCAAGGGGAAATAATCTATTTCAAAATAGATTAACTCCTCGGTTAATTTTTTTACGCTACGAGAGTTAATTTATCATGGGGGTTAATTTATTTTATGAAACCGGATCAGCCAGACCTTTACCCATCAGTAAAGCATATTTGCCTCAAAGGTGAGGCAATGTTTTTACATACATTAATTCAAATTTAAGTAGTGAAGCAACTTTACTGAATAAATTGTTGTATCTTATTTTCTTCTACAACTTGCGTACAAGTACAACGTATTTATTCAATGTAAAACTTTACTTTGCATAAATACGTCGTAAATATCTCACTAAAATGCGTATCAATGTAAAAACTGATACGCATTTTTATCGAGACAAAAAAATACTGTACTTAGGACTTTATGGTATCTCCTGTGATTCGCACCTTGTCATAATTAATAAAATGTCAACCAAAATATAAGTGTACTTAAGTGTACAAAATAAAAGTGTAAAATACAGTATAACTTACCTGACCCGCATAAAGGTTTAGCGCATCGTACTAAATTACAAGACGCCTTAGCTTGTCCACTGCTTAGAAACGATAAAAAGCAAAGCACTAACAACACCAACATCTTAGTTGTAACGAGTTAGAAACTTTACGGTATTTATATGTTTTATTACGTCACAATTAAACGTTTAACGCACGTTAATTAATTGAGCAAATAATTATGTGTTTTAACACTCGTTAAAAAAACTAATAAATTGTTCAATCAAGTATGCATCGTTAAAATAACTTTGACAAAAGCAAATAATTGATTTAAATTTTTTTTTTATTTCTGAGTGACGACTACATTAACTTCACCGAAAACCACCGAAAAAGTCGATGCGGAAAAAAACATAGTTTTCTCATATAATTTGTGTTCCGCTGTTTTTGTCCTTGACTTTGATGACGCTTTGTAGAAATTTCTGCAGGCTTAATTATGTGTTCATCATGTATTGTAATTAGCGATAATTAGCCGGACAAAAATAAACCGCAACATCTTAATTTCAACGAAAATCATATTACTATGACATTTTTTGATTTATATGAGATTAGGGTTGCAAAAAAAAAAAAATGTTTCAATAAATAAACGTTTATTTTGTAACTTTACAATATTTTTGCACCTTGATATTGCGTATAAAAATTATAATCAACAGGAGAATTTGGAGAAAAACCAACCGCCATGTGGCACATAAAAAAAACAACCGCCATGTGAATCTCTACATAATTTTTTTTTTTTTTTTTTATATTTGCCGTTTAATATTACAATAACTAAATATGTTTTACAATTTTTACATTAGTAACGACAGGACTTATAGAAGATCATGAGTATCTTGTCATGAAGCCCTTAACATATATGGTTAATTTTGAAGCCCTTTACCATATATGGTTAATTTTGAAGCCCTTTACCATATATGGTTATGAAGCTCTTTACCATATATGGTTAATTTTGAATAAATATACAATGTCTGTAGTGAAATAATAATAATACACCTTTATGCAAAAAAATTTAAAAACCAAGATAAAATGTTAAACCAAATAATATTCAAAATAAAACATCTACAACAACAAAAAAAGCAATTAAAAATTAATTAAGATATTTTCAATTAAAAATATAATTTTTTTAAGTTTCTGTTTGAATGAAGCAAAAGTCAGTTTGGTGGAAAAATCAAAGTTTAGTAAGACTATTTTGTTCCAGAGATAAGGACCTCGGTAAGAAACAAAAAACTGGTCTTTGCTTTTACGACAAAAAGGAACAATAAGATTATTATTAATTCGAAGATTATATTTGTTTTTAGGTTTCATCCAATAAAGATTTTGTCATACATTTGGCAATAAATTTTCTCTACATTTAAACATGAAACATAAAATATTAAAGACATTTAGTTGATATACATTTAAAATATTTATTTCTTTAAAAAATTGTTTCGTATGAAAAAACCGATTTTTAAAATTTATTGCGCAAGTTGCGTTAGTCTGACGAAGGTAAAGAGATTTTATTTTTGTTCTGTGAGTGCTCCCCATATAATGTTCGCGTAGTTTATATGACAATGTATAAATGAATAATATAATTGTGTTAACTGGTGTTTACTTAATATATTTCTTGTTTTATAGAGAACGCCGATCCATTTAGCAATTTTATTGGAGGTATTATCTCCAAGATAGATTTTCATCAATATATACTGCGAGAAACTTAGTAACTTTTTCTCTTTTTATTGTTATATTATCAATTAAAAGGTCTGGCATGATGTGGGACAATTTCTGGTTTTTTAAAGGTGGATAAAAAAGTGTCCATTTAGTTTTTTCTATATTTAGAGAAAATCTATTTTGTTTAAACCAAACATAAACTTTTTTTAATTCATTTGTCATATAAGTAAAAAGCATATTAATATCTTTATGAGACAAAAACAAATTTGTGTCCGGGGTTGTTGGCAGTAAGTACGTATAATTGTAATTGTAAGTAAGTACGTATAATTGACCATATTTCACATATTTTCCTAATATCTTCACCCTTAAGAAATCGCTTTAAGTAATAAAATGCAACAAATAATTTTAATTATTAAATTAAAATTAAATTATTTGTTGACTCATTGGTTTGTATCATAAAGAAAAGTATATTCGGTAGCTGATTGGTTTGGAAAGTAGAGTACATGTGTTGACTGATTGGTTTGGATTCTTACCAACGCTGTTTTGATTATGTAATGTTGGATTGGAAAGAGCTGAGTCGGATATTGCATAGACATCAAAGCCACTTCACGTTGATTGAGTTTTATAAAAGAGTTATACACTGCCTAGTGGGTATAGAACGTCCTAAAACGTCCGATGGACGTCGAATGGACATCCAAACATCCATTGGACGTCTTTTAGACGTCTTAGGACGACTTAGCAAAAGCTTAAGGTTGAGTGACAAAAGCCACTCGACCTTGACAACAGAAGCATTGGTAATTTTATTGACCTATTTAGTTGCTAATAGAACAGAAACTGACACTTAGGAAACACTTGCAATGTGCTAATGAAAAGCAAACGGCCAAAATTATCTGAATTGCAACATCCAAAATGACTTAGCTACGTTGGAGTCTAAAACAGCTGTTGACGAAATTTGTATAGTTTCGTCAATAGCTGAATTTAACAAGAAAAGTAATACAGAGCCAAAAAAGTAAAGTAGTACAGCTTTTTCTCAATTGTATGAGAGATGCAAGTGACGTTTATTAAATGTCAACAATATTAAGATTTTAAAATGATTATAAAACTACAAGAAACACAAGAAACACCAAAGGACAAAATATAAACTTTTAAGTTTATTTTTTCCTAATTGTTTGTCAAAAAATTGCTTAGAAAATTGAGTTTAAATCTAAATTTTTTTTTTGACATCAAAAAAGTTTTTCTCGAATGAGGATTTTCTCAAACATTGTAATGATCTATCTACAACACTTTAAGAAGGTGACTACAGCATTATGAATTCTTTTTAAAGAAGAACTTCAAATTTAAAAATATATCTTAGCTTTAATAATATCTGAAAAAGCGGCAGTGTCAAGTAAAAAAGTAAAGAATTTTTTTTTTTTTAATTTTTGTTTATTTTGTGTAAATTTTGTTATTAATTTGTAATTAATAAGAAAACTTAAAAGAAGATCCCCGCAAAACCTTACTCCAGGAACCTAAATTTTCTTTTCTCGCACCCTTTCACCCCCTCTCCCCCTTTCCTTCCTCCTCCTCATTTAAATATAGTATGATAGTAATCTAATGAAAATTGTTTTTTTTGCCTCTGCAAACCAGTCTATCATATCTTTTAAAGTTAATTAAGCTGCTAAGTCAGCTTCAATAGCTAAAAGGTTTAGCGCTAATGGACAGAGTATCTTTATGAACAGTGTCCATAAAGATACTTTAATTTTTGTTAATAAGCTGAAAGATCTTTTTGCAGTCGCCACCCTAACAAAGAATGTCAAATATAGAATAAGTAGTGCGATTATGTCAATGATTAACTCACAATATGTTATTGTAGACACTTGTAAAATACGGAGATTTTGTAAAATGCGGTAATATAGTGAAAGAAATATTTCGTAATTTAAACCCAAAACCTCAATCAATGTAGAATCATTCTTTAAATGTTTTCTTTAAATTAGTTGATGTATGTAGCCCCTAGCCCTATTTCCACAGTTTATTTTCGCACTTTACATGTTGAAAGTTTCCGCATTTTATCAACATCTTGTTATTATTAATAATTTTAAATATTTTTTTTAATTCTGAAAAATCATCCAGAATTTAATAATCTTTTGAAATATTTTTTTTGTTGAGAAAAAAAAGTTTGCTAATTGCGAAGTTATAGCATATTTTTTTTAAAACAAGCAGCAATTTATCGTTTCACTAAAGCAGCTCATCGTAGTTCGCGCAAAATAATAAGCACGTTTATAAGCATATCAACGTTAATGTTAATATGTTTATAAACGTGCATTCTATTTTCTAAAATTTTTTTTTTTTTTTTTTTTTATGTTGATTTAGGTGCCCCAAAAAGTCCTTACGGTCTTATCACAGAGCACCGCAGAAGAGCATTTAATAGGACAAATTTTTGAAATTTATAACAAAAATTTGGTCATCTTGGACAAATTTTTGAAATTTTTAACAAAAACTTGGTCAGCTTGGCCCCAAATAACTCTTGGCCCTCTCGCGGCTGCTCGCCTTGCGAGCCCATTGGTACGCTACCAGTTGTTTGAGTAGCTATCGCTAATCTTTGTGGTGTTTTGATTAAATATTTAATGTAAAGAGTTTGAAGGTGAAAAATGTTCATTTATTACCTTCAAAAAAATTTTCCCAGTATTGGTTGAGACGCTTTTATTTTACGGTGGGTTAAAATAAACTATTTTATTTTTTCGTTTTTGAGGGATGCCATGTTTATTGGGTTGTAATTTAAGTTAAAGTTTTTAAAAATCATTTAATCTAAGTGATTCTCCATATTCTAGTTTTAATAAGTTTTTTCATCAGAAGAATTCATCAAAAAGTCGATAGTTAATGGAGAGGAGATTTTTGGAAGATTAAAAGAAAATTAAATCATCACATCAAGAAAATTAACACTGTTTAAATTGGTTTGGATCTGTATTTGGAATCCGATGCTTTTAAATGTCTCAATCCGATGCTTTTAAATGTCTCAATCCGATACCTCTAAATGTCTCAATCCGATGCTTTTAAATGTTTCGTTCCGATGCTTTTAAATGTCTCAATTATATTTTTTGTGAATTTAACTGTTTAGTAGTTTTTTTGCACATTACCATCAACCCGTCGTCTCGGTAAAGGCCTTAATTATTTTTAGTGATGGTTCTAAATAGAGAGTCTAGAATCTATAAACCTACCAGTTCACACACTTTGGCTTCATCAAAGTATTCCAATATGACGTCGAAACAATCGTTATACGCCTTTTTTTTTTCCTCCATGTTTCATGGTTAAAAAATAATAACGATTTTCTATAATGATTTAAATCATTATATTTTTTACATTACATCATAAATATTTATGACCCTTTTTTTTCATTACTCGTTTCAATGTTTTGGTAATATAAACGCGTTGATTAGAATATCTTTTGTGATGGATGGATAAAATTCA